ATCTGATGCTATTCAAATCAAGGACTTCGATTCACCAATAGACATTTTAAAGATGTGAAAAGATACAAACTAGAAGATATAACACACGCACACACTGACAAAGAATATCAAGAATATATAGAGAACTGGGCCTCCCCGGTGGCACAGTGGTTGAGTTCTGGGTTGCAAAGCTGCCCGCAGCCTCTGCAGCACTGGTTCGATCCCTGGCTGCTCCCCGGCCACCAGAGGAGGGTCCCACATGACGCACAGACTCTCCTGCTACCCAGCTCCCCTCAGCAGTGTACTTCAGTCCTTCTGCCTGCTCTGCTCCCCGCTCTGGCTCTGGCGAATTCTCTCACCCTCCCTCGCTTCTGACTGTACCCAGTGCTTGTATAAATAAATAAATAAATCTTAGGAAAAAAAAAAAGAATACATAGAGAACTACAAATTGATGTAAAAAAATTGAAAAATGGCCACAGACACGAACAGAAGAAACACATATAAATGGTAAATACATGAAAAGATCTTCTAATCAGAAGATCAAAACAAGGATAAGGTAATTTAACATCATTGCTTGTCAAAAACTTAAAAGTCTGACAGTAACAAATGTTGGAAAGGATATGACTACAAGGAATCCAAGTTCTATATATGGAAAGTGAAAGTGAAAGTCAACGCAAATACCTTAGAAAACAGTTGGACATTAACAACTGAATTCAACAATTAGTCCTAGACAAATACTTGAGAGTTCCAGAGTTTCTATTACTAAATACCCAAGATACATGCTTGAACAATTATATCGGGAGGTATATATAAGAATATTTATATTAACAGTGTGCACAAGAGCAAAAATCAGGAAACAATTTAAAAGCCCACTGGTTGAATAAAACTGGATCACACAAAATGGATTATTTCACAACAGTCAAAGTGAATGAATTCCAGTAACACATGACTACTAGATTTAAACAATAATTATGTGGAAAAAATAGTACCAGAGTATTACACACAACACTATATCCTTATAAAATTTAAAACTAGATGAAAAAACAGATGAGGAGGAAAAATATATAACACAATAAAGCATAGTTAAAAGGAGTAAGAATGGGACCTCCCTGGTGGGCAGGGGGTTAAGCACAGCACTATGAAGCAATCTGCAGTCTCTGCAGCATGAGTTCAATCCCCGGCCAGCCAAGGAGCTACCCACATGGCGCAGCAGACCCTCCTGACTCTACCACTCCTCCCCTCAGCAGTGTCTTTAGGTCAGTCTGCCTGTTCTGTTCCCCACTCTGTCTCAGGTGAATCCTCTCACACACACCCCCCAATCTCTGACCTGTACCCCAGCTCTTGTATGCATAAATAAATAAATCTTTAAAAAAAAAAAGTAAGAATGATGCAGACACTACTCAGGATGGTGTTTAAGGAGGGGTAAGGTGTAAGAAGGGTGCATATATGATGACGTGTCGATTATTACACCAAGACGCTGGCATTTGGGGGAGGGGCAATGTTCATCGATTCTTATTATTACATAATAAGATTCTTATTACTATTTAAATAGATACAGATCTAGATACACAGGTGATAAGGGCTAGGTGAGTAAATAAAGCAGATGGTGTATGGACAATGATGAAAATTTATCATAACCTACTTACTTCTGTGAACCTGAGGTGCAGAAGGATTTAAAAAATATTTTAAAATATGTGATAGAATAATGAAGCGCAATGAAGTACTCTTGCCAAAAATGCTTAACTTAAACCCAGGAGCTTCCCAGGCTCGTGCTGGGGCGCTACCAGAACACAATCTTGCCTATAAGGTGGGGCTGTTCGGGCGCGGATCAGCTTTGATTCCACACAGAAAAGGGCAAAGGAGGGGCAAACATACAACAGAAGCAGAGGAGAGAAAAAGGGCGAGTGGGCGCCAACACGACCTGGCCCAGGGCAGAAGACACGCGAGTCTGGGTCCGAGACAACCGGGTTGTGCCGCCCCTTCCTCACCAAAAGGGCCCCCGAGTCTGAGCAGATGCCCACGCCTGGTGCCCAGGTGATGGGAAGGCTTTTTGTGGCCACACGTTCAAGAACCTAGCTCCGGAACCCCGAATGTGGGCTAGAGAAGCGCTCCCTGTTTGTCCACAGGCAGAAAGCAGCCTTCCCTCGAAAAACACGAAACAGGGCCCAGCCAGGCTGTGCTGGTTACCATCGGCTCAGGGTGTTACAGGCAGGGAGAGGGGCAGCCCAGACCCCACAAACCCAGCCAGACCCTGCCTGCTCTAAATAGGTTCTGCCATCCGTCGCTTCAACACAAAACATATGAGACTTCAGTGAAAAACAACTTTAATACAATTAGGAAACAATACAGGAAAGGCAAAGAATAGAGTTTCTAAATCAAGCACCCAAAGTTACCCATCTCCTCTTGGGTAAAAGACCACCCAAGCAGGACTGGCCCAGAGCAAGGCCCCAAAGCCTGCCACAAGCCTAAAGCAGTTTCCAGTGGGGACCCACAGAAAAGGATCAGAAACAACCAGACAAGTCTGGAGGGAAGAGAGCAAAATAAAAATCAAGACAAAAACCGCCATTGTCACCTCCCCACGGGCCTCACCCACGTCTGTGTCACCCAGGCCACGACCAAAAGACAAGCGCAGTTTCTTCACGTGTCTCTCGGCTCCATGTGCCTCCTCCAGGTCTCCTTCTGGCTCCGTCCTGCTTCCTTCCCCAGTCTCCTCCCCAGCCTCTCTCCCTGCTCAGCTCCACCCTCCCTTGGGTGGGACAGGAAACCTGGAACCTCCTCTTTCCTGGGGACCACCCTGTTCCAAGGGTACTAGGGTCTGTGAAACTTCCTTAGGCCCGAGTAGAAATACTATAGCGTCTGGCTTCTCTGGGCAGAAAATAACACCCTCCCGTGCCACTTCTGGGACACGAAGAAACGTCACGTTTCTACAAAACTACGTACCCACCTGTGAATTTTTCTTCTCGAGGTGCGGACTAAAACCTGTGATACCAAATTTCTGGTACTGAAAAAGCCACTGTTGATGTAGAATATAAAACAACTGGTTGTTTCACCAGGGGAAAAAAAGGGGGGAGTTATGCAGGACTATCCCAGAAACGGGGTCTCGGGCCCTGCACGCGTAGCGCGCCAAGGAACGGGCGGCCCACAAGGGGAAGCGTCCGCGGGGAGGCGGGTTCTTGCGGAAGAGGGAGTTCTGGCTTCTCATTGGCTGAGCTGCGGGGCTTCTCATTGGTGGAGCTGTTGCTGGGCGGGCTAGCTCGCCCTGGGCGCTGTGTAACACCCCCGTGCACCGCTTCCTGCTGGCGCTTTCAATCAAGAGTGCATGTAAATAAAGGCAGCGATAACGCACGAGCGGACGTGAACGGGAGAGCTCCCGCTATAGGCCTTCCCGACCTAATTTTAAGTAAACTTTATTTCGCTTTTACATTGTTAAACCTGGTACTATGAACAGCAACGATACTAATAACCACCACGACCTAAAAGGGATACAGAGAGATCCTTTCCCGCCTTTTACCAATGCTCACCGGGGAAAGCTAAAAGTGATATGGTTTGGGCCTCTCTGGGGGCATCGTGGGTGAGTGCTGGGTTGCGAAGCTGCCCCCGGTGCGCAGGCCTCTCCTGCCGCCCGCTGCTCCTCTCAGCTGCATACCTCGGTCCTTCTGCCTGCTCTGCTCTCTGCTCTCGACTCTGGTGAATTCTCTCACTCTCCCGCGCTTCTGACTGTACCCAGTGCTTGTATAAAACAAACATAAAGTGAATATTTAAAAAATAAGAAAAAAGTGATATGGTTTTTTGGGGACCTAAATGCAAGTTTAACTACTCCGAAACCAAGTTAATTTATTTCCTAGAAAAACTCTGCGCAGACTCTGGGCTAGAACTGAGATTTGAAAATGAATTTCAAAGTTCTACATGGTATTTGAGTTGTAAATTCAGGTTCTGGAGAGAGAATGTTTTCTGGCCTTCTGTGAGTAATCTCCTTGCGATTGCAAGGTCGAGGCCTTGGCTGAGACGGTGTTGGGAGGGGGGAGCTTGAAACTGCTTCCACCTGCATCTCCCCCCCCCCCCCCCGCCAGAGCTGGCTCTGCACTGTTTGCACTCCCTGATAAGCAGCGTTGAAAGAACAACCAGTTCCGAGAGATGGGCCTCCCCGGTGGCGCAGCGGTTGAGCGCTGGGTTGCGAAGCTGCCCGCAGCCTCTGCGGCACCGGTTCGATCCCCGGCTGCTCCCCGGCCACCAGAGGAGGGTCCCACATGGCCGCAGACCTCTCCTGCCGCCCGCTGCTCCCCTCAGCAGTGTACTTCGGTCCTTCTGCCTGTTCTGCTCCCCGCTCTGGCTCTGGTGAATTCTCTCACCCTCCCACGCTTCTGACTGTACCCAGTGCATGTGTAAACGAAACAAAACGAACAAACAAACAAATAAATAAATAAAAAACATGCCTCTATTAAAAAAAAAAAAAAAAAAAAAAAAAAGAAAGAACAACCAGTTCCGAGAGAAAAAAAAAACTTCTTTGGAAAAGCAACTTCGACTCCGCATTCGCCACCTCTTTCCAAGGCCAGACCCTGTCCTAGAAAAGCTTGCCCCGACCCCCGCGTGGGTTGGGATCTTGGCCCAGGGCGTAATTTCTTGCCCGTGAGAAACTTAGCCTGGCTCTCCTTTTCTTTACTGCGCCAATCCTTTCCGTGACCATTCTATGTACACAACTTCCTGAAAATAATTACCTTTTTTCCAAGCTCAACAACTTGGGGACATTCTCCTGTTCAAGTATAATAATTTAAAAAAAATTTCAAAGTTATGCTCTATGGAAGTGATTTTTATAGACTAGATATCAGAAAAATGGAATGACTAAATCTTAAAATATATGCCATCTCACTACAAAACACGTAAATGGTAGCTCAGTGAAGTGATGAATGTGTTAACTAATCTTATAATAATCACTTCACAACATATATCAAATCGTCACATTGTACACCTTAGACTTACACAATGTTATATGTCAATTATGTCTCAATAAGACAGGAAAAAAAGAAAAAACCCTCCATGGAACTATTTTAAATATAAAAAAAAAAACCACAATATAAAAACAAAGGCCAAAAAGTTAACAAAAAATTGGATCAAGAAGAAAATTTGGAAGATATATAAAGCCTTTATTGCAGTTTGCAAACCAGGTAATGCCACTTTCCCATACAAATTGAAAGTGTGGCTCCCCAGATTTATTAAGGTAAAAACATAAAATCGGTGATAAAAGCCACAAAATAGGTGTTAAAAGTTGCAAAATGAAAAATTAATCCCAAATGGCTGACAAGTGAGTTCAAACCAAAACTCTGTACCTATTGGTCTCTATCAAGAGGTGGCTGGGAACTTTCCAGATTTTGAGTAGATTTCTGCAGGGGTTTGGCAGCTGTGGTTTCCAGGAACGCAGGGTACATGCCCAGTCCCATTTCCTGGCACAAACACCTGATTCCATTTCATTTTGGGCCCCATGAGCCTGAATGAGTCTATTTTCATAGTTATTCTGGTTTTAGAGTTCTTTCCTCAGTTGTCATACTGTACAGACATCATTCCTTAAATTTTGAGATTCCGCAACTGGTTTTATATACACATCTATAATGGTGTGTGTGAGTGTGTGTGTGTTCTAAGCTTTATTCTAGAATATCACTTTTCTAATTGTAAAATAAACATCTAGACCTGTAGATCCTGGAGAACAGAAATCAGACCTCATTAATGACTGAATACCCAGAGCTCAATGTAGTGTGTTGTAAATGATACAAGGCAGGAAGTCAGTCCTGTTCTCTATTCTGCCTTAATCTAGACCTGCTTAGATGAAATCCCACTAAGTAACTACTGAACCATTTAAGGATGGAATATATAACATAGCTTTAAAATAAAGTAGAAAAGGAGGTTTTTTTTTAACAAAAAAGCAAATGGAAAGACCAGCCATAGCTCTCGAGCACTCCAGGCAGAACACTGAGCATCTCTCCCCAGATGTCTGCTGCAGCCCTTACTTGTCAACATCTTGATTCCCTTGATCCCCTGGCTTCTGTTTTATGGCTACAGTTACTGCAGAGGTTTCACTGATGGCAAAAGCCAAAGGAAACTGGAGATTTAATACAAAGTTTACAATCTGATGATAGTACAGGCGCACATTCTATGTAACTATTATTAAAATTGGTAGCCTGTTTGCCTTCAGTTTTACAAGCTTTTAAGAACTCTTCTTACTGAGAGAGATTCCATTGATCTTGTAGCAGCCAGGAGTGATGAGGCTTTCTCTAGTGGTGATAAGAATCAACTTCTTAATGGCCAAAGAACAGGTGCTCATCACCCAGTCTGTGGGGATCAGATGAACTATGGTTTCTTGGTATTGAAGTTTTTTGTCAGTGCATATATACATATATGGTATGATTTAATAAAATTACTTTTCTTATGTTTCATTGCTTTATAAAGTCATCATTAAAATTCATTGATGGCCAGTACCAAATTTATATGGATCCAACACTATAAAGGCATGGCAAGGAGTTATGGACTATGAGGTAAACCTCAGGGAGGGGTGGCCCTAACATTACTCACTGGAATGCAATCACTAAGTTCTGTCTAGTTCTGCATGAGAAAAGAGAACTTCATCCACAAGTACTGCCACTTGTTCACCAAACAGGGAACAAAAGCTGCTCTTGGCTTTTGCCACTCTGTTCACTGGAAGGGTTCTGATTGGTGGAGGCAGAGAATGATTCAGAGTGGATCAACAACCCCTAAATGGGCCAACAGAACCAGCCCCCTGGAACACTACCCCAGCCAGGACCCAGAGACTGCAAGCTAAGGACTGTTGTCAGCTATGTGGGTCTTCATCAGAGCATAGCTGCATAGCCCTAACCTCTCAACCCCTTACCTCAAACTAAAGCTTACCAGAAAGGGAGGAAGCTCTTTGGGAGAGAAGAAGTTAAGTACAGATGACAGCAGTTGCTACTTGATGCTCTATGCCCCATTTAACAGAGCATGGAATATGATCCCTCCTTGAAAACAAAAGGTACAATTTTAAGAGTCTAGAGCCTCTTGGGAAAGTTCAGCATGCCTACTCCAAAACTTTAATTCAAGAATATGGACACCATACCAAATATACAGGTATATTCTCCTCTTAAAAATCTTAGGAGGGTATTTTGATTTTCCAACACCACCCAAAAACCTCTGTAGCACTTAAATTGCCTAGTACAGTACACATATTTTGTAGTTTTTAAGAGCCCTTTTATCTTGAGTAGATAAGCAATCATCTATAACCATCTTCATGAAACATTGTTAATTATATTCTCCTGGTGATAGATTAACCAGGAACCAAACTTGTCTCTTTCACATTGCCAGCCAAACTACATGTAAATGTACAGTTTTATACAAAAGCCCTGATATAACTGTATTTAGCCTTCAGTTTAGGCAGAGGACCACCCACTCACTCTGTATAACCCACCCAGCACAAGAGCAGCAATTTTTATTTCAATACCATTATATGCAAAAATTGTGTCATGTAAAATAGAGGTTCTTACATAAAGGTTTAGACTTAGGGGAGAAGAGATAAACAACAGTACTAAAGAGATGTGTACTTAGATCCAGGTTCACCAAGACACTTCAGCTTCAAACTGGTTCATCATCATCTTCCTGCTATATTCATAGGCCAAAATTAGTGACCCATTGGCAGGGATGGCTCTAATCATAGTAGCGCTCAGTCCAGAATATAAGACCGCGATTCCTTCAGTTTTTGCAATACTTAAAAGAGTTCCAGTAAATCCTGCCTGTTTTCCAGACATGGAAAGAACCTGAATTCTGGATTTGATACAATCCACTGGGAATACGACAAGCCAAAGGCAAACTCCAGCAAATCCACCACTTAACATCAAATGGGCAGGGCCTAGTTCATCTTTTGATCTTCCTGAAGCAAAAAAAGACCGGCTCATTTCATAGCCACCAAAGAAGCAGAAATACCCTGGTACTTCCTGCAGCAGAGTGCTGGAGAGTCCCTGGTAGAAACCCAAAGGGCCATCATTTCTAAGAATACTCTTCACGACTGACCAAACTGTATGTTGACTTTTTGTTATCTTCCCTGACATCTCCATTTCTCTCATGGTTTGTAGCCGACACTTCACAAGCTCAGTGGGGCACAGTGTCAGGGAAGCAAATGCAGAGGCAAAAGACCCAGCGGTTGCAGTCTGTAGGTCACTCAGCTTTGCCCGCTTGTCCAGTCCAACAACTCCTTTCACAAACTGTTGGCAGAAACCGTAGCACATGAAAAGGACCGAGTTCTCGGCGATGTAGGCCACCAGCGCAGGGCCGGTCCCCCTGTAGAAGCCCCGCACGCCCACTTGGAAGTAAGTCTTCAGGAAGCACTCCATGAGGCCCTTGTACAGGCGGGGGAACGTCTGCATCTTCACTTTCATTGTGTCGAAGGGCTGCCCGGTCAGGACACACACTATACCCCCGAGGGCCCCCGCGGTGAGGTCGATGGTGGCTTGGATGGCAGGATTGGACTTCATATTCGCTCACTCTCTGCTGGTCTCTGTGGAAAGTTACTTCTGGAGCCTAGGACTCGGGTCTCACGTCCCGCCGCCTAGTTTCGGCTCTCACCCTCCGAAGGGAGAAGCCGGTAAACCAGACGCCAGACCGCGGGCCGCCCTCCCCGCGCTCTGAGATTAACTCCTGGCGGGCGACCTCGTGCGCGCCCCTCTCCCGTGCGCCCCTCTCCTGCGCGTGCAGTGCCCGGCGACGCCCGGTTTCCTGGCCCCGAATCACCCACAGACGCCTCCCCGCGCCTAGGCCGGCCCCGCCATAACCAACGCCCGGCCCCGAGGGAGGCACACTAAATCAACACTTTGAATGGATTATGAGACAGCAATGGAAAGCTGTTCAATAAATTCTTCCAGCTATGGCCCCGCCTCTGGGCGCCACGATTCACTCCGAGGAGACAGAAAAGCTCTTCCATTCGGTCAGACCCCCTTCTCCCATTTCTAACTAGCAAAACAAAATAGATATTCCCAGTAGGTCGACCCCAGAGACAAAAGGTCAATGTACAGAAGTAGAGATTTTAAATAGGGAAGACAAACTACGTAGGGGGTTTTACATGATAATTGGTGAGTCCTTTTAACGAGCAAACACTAACCATGTCCGGCCGGGCCTGGGGCCCTGCAGAGGTGCCGGCCGCGCCCTGTCTCTCCAGGTCCAGCGCTTCACTCTCCAGGGGGCGCGGAGGGAGGCTGGAGATGGGCTATTGCTGCTGTGGGCCTGCGGCGCTGAAGAACGGCTATTTCATGGCCCACAACATGGCCCAAAATCTGTAGCTGGAGCCCTGGGAGCTGGTGAGACGCAGTCCTCCACATGTCCAGATGTAAGAAACACATTTTACAACCTGCTTGGGAAACAAATATTTATATATTGCAAGAACCTTGATAGAAAAACGCTGTGGCTCCAGCGCTTTATGTTTACTAAGTTTCCCATTGAGGGGCCACCAAGCTTTATGCAGCAGCCGCAGCAGAATTTTCAGGATATAAATGACAGCTGGCCAAAATTTGGCGGGTTTGGACACTAGTGAGGGTGCACATAATTCCGGTAGTGGAACAGTTCTCCTAAAGGTTTATATCCTAGGGTCTAGTTGGTATTTCACTTCTGGGGTGAAGGCAGAATGGGGAAAGGGACATAAAGCGTACTGAGATAATGCTTTCATTTAGAAGGCTTCCTTGTCTGAATGTCTGTCAATAAGTATTTAAAAGGGAGGCACAGGGCCTCCCCGGAGGCGCAGCGGTTGAGCGCTGGCTTGCAAAGCTGCCCGCAGCCTCTGCAGAGCTGGTTCAAGTCCCGGCTGCTCCCCGGCCACCGGAGGAGGGTCCCACATGGCGCACATGTTAGGGGGAAATGATGTCCTGAGCTAATCCCATACAGGCTTTGTGGGCCCCACCCCCACTCCAGACTAAAGCCGCCCACTGCTTCCCTCAGCAGTGTACTTCGGTCCTTCTGCCTGATCTGCTCCCTGCTCTGGCTTTGGTGAATTCTCTCACCCTCCCGCGCTTCTGACTGTACCCAGTGCTTGTATAAATAATAAATAAATAAATCTTTTAAAAAAAAATAAATAAATAAATAAAAGGGAGGCACAGAGGACCTCCCTGGTGGCGCAAGGGGTTAAGCACCACACTATGAAGAATCCGCAGCCTCTGCAGCATGAGTTCGATCCCGCAGCCAGCCAGGGAGCAGCCCACATAGCGCAGCAGACTTCTCCTATCTCACCTGCTGCTCCCCTCAGCAGTGTATTTCAGTCAGTCTGCCTGTTCTGTTCCCTACTCTGTCTCTAGTGAATCCTCTCACACCATCCCCCTCCCCCCTCTGGCCTGTGCCCCAGCTCTTGTATGCATAAATAAATCTTAAAAAAAAAAATAAAAGTGAGGCACAAAAAAGCAGATCGTGCACAGGAGTTTGTCAGCAGGTAGACTTTGCTGTAGTGGTGTCCTGGCCTTTTCAGTATTTGAATTTCTTTTCTCCAGAATCACATGGTTTCTTCAGAGAATAATCTTCCAATCTTATCTGGGGTGGGGGGAGTGGGGGAGAAGGGAGAACACATAACCCTGATAATGAGATCCAAGAAAGGGGAGGTGACATTTCTGCAGTAAAGCATATGGACTTTCATATAATTCCCTTGTTAGATACTATACCCCCCCTACCCCCCCAGTTTTCAACTATGCCTGTTTCTCTGAGTTCCAGCGCCTTGAGATCAATTTACCCAGAAAAGAAACTTTCCATACATGTGTTAGGGAAGGAAAAATCATGTTCCTTCCTAGGGCAGGACAGGGATCCTGGATGTCCATTTGCTCTGAACAGATTTTAATGAATCCTGTTTCCAGCCCCACTGCTTTCTTCACTCTGTCTCTCTGATCAAAAAAAAAAAAAAAAAAAAAAAAAACAAAAACCAGATTTTTCCAATTGTTACTAACATCAAATACCAGATCTTGAACTTAAAAGAGTTGAAGAGCGGACTCTCCATCTACCTAATCCATCTACTCTTCCAATTGAACTTTTTTTTTAAAGATTTATTTACTTATGGGGGCCTCCCCTGGTGGTGCAGTGGTTGAGCGCAGGGCTGCAAAAGCTGCCCATAGCCTCTGCAGCGCCGGTTCAATCCCCGACCACCGGCAAGGGTCCCACATGGCATGACAGACCTCTCCTGCCACGCCCGCTGCTCCCCTCAGCAGTGTATTTTGTCAGTCTGCCTCTTCTGTTCCCCACTCTGGCTCTGGTGAATTCTCTCACCCTCCCGCACTTCTGACTGTACCCAGTGCTTGTATAAATAAATAATCTTTAAAAAAAAGAGATTTATTTACTTACGCATACAAGAACTGGGGTACAGGCCAGAGGTGGAGGTGTGTATGAAAGGATTCACCAGAGACAGAGTGGGGAGCAGAATAGGCAGATTGACTGAAATACACTGCTGAGGGGAGCAGCTGGCAAGTCAGGAGAGGTCTGCTGCACAATGTGGGTCACCTCCCTGGCCAGGGATGGAACTCATGCTGCAGTGGCTGTGGATAGCTTCATAGTGCTGTGTCTTAACCACTTGTGCCACCAGGGAGGCCCTGAACTACTTCTTTAAATGGTCATTATGTATTAGTTCTAGCTTCACATACTACAAATCACCCAGAAATGTAATGACATAAAAAATAAAGTTTCCTTGAGTCTGAAATTCCAGAGAGAGAGGTCTCTCAATTTTTTTTTGAAGATTTATTTATTTATGCATACAAGAGCTGGGGTACATGCCAGAGATGCGGAGGAGTGAGAGGATCCACCAGAGACAGAGTGTGAAACAGAACAGGCAGATTGACTGAAATACACTGCAGAGGGGAGCAGCGGGCAAGACAGGAAAGGTTTGCCTCGCAATGTGGGTTTCTTCCTGGCCGGCTGGGGATCTAACTTGTGCTGCAGAAGACGAGGATTGCCTCATAGTGCGGTGCCTAATCCCTTGTGCCACCAGGGAGGCCCAAGTCCCTCAATCTTAAAGACCGATTTCAAAGCTGTATTTCAAATTTTTAATGGAAGCACCTCTCTTCTGGGTACCAGAAATCTGTATTGGTTATCTACTGTTGCATAAAAAAATTACCAAAAAATGAAGTGGTGTAATAGCATGTACTTAGATCTGTTTCTGTGAGACATGAATTCAGGAGTTACTTAGCTGTGTATCTCTGACCTAGAGGTCTCTTATGGGGTTAGTCAAGATGTCATCTGGGCTTGATTAACATTGGAGAATGACTCCAAGATGGCTTAATTACAAGACTGGCAAATTCTGTTGGTTGTTGGCAGGAGGCCTCAGTTCATCATCAATTGGTCTTCCTTCATGACTGCTGGTGTGTTCTGGTGGGGAGTGATTTATTTCTCCCAGAACTAGTGCTCCAAAAAGCAAGACAAAAGTCTCAAGTCTTTTGTGATCTAGTTTGGAATTCAAACATCATTTCTGCAACATCTCATTGTTACTCAGGATAATCCTATACCATTAGCAGGGCACTAAGAATCAATAGGAGCAATCTTGGAGGCTAGCTGCCACTGTACCTATGAGAATTAAAGGGGGAAAAAATCTAAGTGAAGACTGTGGACTGTGGAAGACAAGATTTTCCATGGGAGGATCACTTGCAGGAATCACATGACCTGGAACACAGGCATTGAGGATAAATAGGAAACTGAATTAAATCCAGGAAATGTAGAGGGGAAGGTATCTTTGTTGTAGGAACATCCATGAAGTTGTTTTTCTGTCTAGGAACATGTTTTCCTAGATGCATAAGAAAAAATAGAATTAAGATGGTATAAAAAGATAAAGACAGACATGAGAATTTCCTCCATGGATAAAAAAAAGCATGGGGCCAGTTGAATAAATTTTGTGAGAACAGAAAAGAGTGTAAAGTATGTGAGAGGTACAGTTACCCAGTAGATGTACACACCTTCCAAATCAGTGTTGGACTGGATTGCTTTGGTTTCAATTTTCTCTGAAATTAGGGCCAAAATTTATTCTGTTCATCTACCAAGGAGCAAGAGACAACCTTTGGTTGTTTACAAGATGAAATATAGATACTATTAACATCCCAGGCAAGAGAAAGAACAGGATGTTTTGACAAACAAGCTATATTAACTATATACCTGCTAACAATGGAAGTCAAGATACAGGCTATTACAAGAAAAAGAACTGGAAGGAGGAAGTTTCAGAATGCTCTGAAAATGGCCGAGTTGTGACACTGCCCCTGCAGTGGGCTTGTTCTGTTGAGCTTTCTTCTTTACACGCACCTGAAATGAAACAAATCTTCCTCATGAGTAATGGGGACTTCAGGACAGTGCTGTCTCAGGACAGCCTGCATATGTGAAGGTTAGAGAATGGGGCCCTATGCAATGGCAACACAAATTATGAGGATATATATGGAAAGAAAACCCAAGATCTTTTAAAATTTGTATAATTGCTCAAAATCCATTGAAACTTTACCAAGCAGTTACTGAAATTCTAGGTATCTGGGTCACATGTTTTCTTATAGAAGTAAACATCTCTTACAATCTAAGAATATTTATTACGTAGGCCTCCCTCGTGGCTCAGGGGTTAAAGTCTTGGTGCTATCAAGCTATCGCCAGCCACTGTGGCCTGAGTTTGATCCCCAGTCAGGAAGCTAACCCACCTGGTGCAGCAGACCTCTCCTGTCTCGCCTGCTGCTCCCCTCAGCAGTGTATTTCAGTGGTTCCGCCTATTCTGCTCCCCACTCTATCTCTGATGAATCCTCTTACCATACCACCACCACCACCCCCACCCCTCGGGCCTGCACCCCAATTCTTGTATGCATAAATAAATCTTTTTTTTTAAGATTTATTTATTTATGCATACAAGAGCTGGGGCACAGGCCAGAGATGCGGGGAGGGGGAGATGAGAGGATTCACCAGAGACAAAGTGGGGAGCAGAACAGGCAGACGGACTGAAATACACTGCTGAGGGGAGCAGCGGGTGAGACAGGAGAGTTCTGCTTCACCATGTTGGTTCCTCTCTGGCTGGCAGGGGATCGAACTCGTGCTGCAGAGGCTGCGGATTTCTTCATAGTGTGGTGCTTAACCCCTTGCACCACCAGGGAGGCCCTAAATAAATTAAATCTTTAAAAAAAAAAAAAAAAAAAAGAATGCTTATTACCTGGCATGAGATTCCAGTTCAAGAATACTTGAAACTCTGGTATGGAAATCCATTCCCTGCAAACTACAACCTGGAAAACAAGGCTTATTTCTGTGAAAATTAGAACAAAAAGAGAGATCTCTGTAGTCCTGATCTTATAGAACAATTTAGAAAATGAAGAACAATTAATTCTTTCATCATCTCACTCTGACCACCAGACATGAAACAGTGCTACTTTCAGATCTGGAGGAGCCCACATATCTGTAACTAAAGAGAAATGTAAATGTCCCATTTCTATTAAAGCTATTCTGGAGAATGTTACATTTTCCTTAAGACCAAGAATCATGAGGGAAATGATCTAAACCTTCATAAATTGTCATAGTTGTACTCATAGTAGAGAATAAAAATCAAGTCATAGTTGTACTGATAGTACTAAGAAGTCAAGTGCCATAAAATTGAATGGAGTGGACAGAGAAAGTTACCTGAGAAAGTGAGTATTGAGCTGAGGCCTGAATTACAAATATCTAGCCATAAGAATCTCTGAAGACCATTCCAGGGGAAAGGAACTGCACATCTTCTTTCTCACCCACAGAAAGAGCGGCTGCAGACAGAAAAGCGGCCAGTATGGCTGCTGTGTGGTGAGCAGTCTTATGAGTCTCTATTTTCAGAGAATTCTGACTGGGCAATAAGAAATAAAAGAGTACACAGTCCTTCAAAGACATGAACTGTCATAATTTATCTAAATTTTCACCAATAAACATTTGCTCTCTGAATCCGAATATCAGGCTTATGACATCTGAGATGGGCTACAAGATCCAACTTACCTAATTTACAGATAAAAAATACACCTGCGTGGCCAGCAATAGGGGAATGAAGAAAAAACATCTATGTCATGAAAATAAGCAATAATTTATGAATGCTGATAAGGAAGAATCCCATATATTTTTTAGTGATGAAGTTTGAAATGGTATCTATAACAGGCTGGCAATAGCTTGATAGCACTGAGACTTTAACCCCTACACCATCAGGAAGGGCCCTGAATCAAGTTTTTTAAAACCAGTAATAAAGCTGTAATAGTACACTGAGTCCTTTGTTTTGTGCTAATATATTTTAAGCTTTCTTTCTGTTGTAATTTATAAGCTTTAATTTAGACTTAATTTGAAATCAGTTAATCACATTTAAAAGTTGTTTCTTTATTTACTTATCATTTTGATAACTCTTTAAATATTTACTCCTATTATGTTCAGCCCCTAGTGAATAGGCAAAATATTTTGCTTTTATTATTAATTTACTCTGTGTTAGCATTGTTCAAGTCCTTTGTATGGATCAACTCAAAAACCAACAGTTAATAACTCAATGGCCTATGAAGTAGGTAGTATCTCAACTTTAGAGATGAGAAAACTGAGGCAAACAGATTAAGTTCTTTCTCAAGACTATACAACTAGTAAAATTACTGTTGTAGGATACAAACCTACACACTTCATCTCTCAATCTTGAGATTTTATCTCTTTTCTATTCTTAAGTTTACGTAACTAACCTACCTAGAGGTTATGAACATAAATAATTTACACTAGTATGATAAATGCATAACAGAGTATTTATCCCAGCATACCATTATAGAGTACATGAAATTCAACACTTAAGTATTTAGTTCTGTACTTTATATCCAGTGTCTGATACTGTTTGGCGCAATAAATATTTGAAAGAACAGAGTCCAGGCAAAGGAGCAACAGCATTCTTTAACCTGGAAATCAAGAAAGTCTTGGCTGATACTTAGGCTGAGAACTGAGGGTTAAGTAGGACTAGGTCAAACAAAAAGGAAGAGTTTCCTAGGTGGAGTGAAAAGTTTGTTAATAGGTTCAAGAGCTCAAGAGATGAAGAGTTATAAACTCCTTGTAAAAAATGTGAATTTATATGGATTGAACACAGTGAGACTAGACTATTAAGTAAATGGAACTCATAATCATGTCTTTTTTTTTTTTTAAAGATTTACTTTATTTTATTTATTTATTTATACAAGCACTGGGTACAGTCAGAAGCGCGGGAGGGTGAGAGAATTCACCAGAGCCAGAGCGGGGAGCAGAGCAGGCAGAGGGACCGAAGTACACTGCTGAGGGGAGCAGCGGGCGGCAGGAGAGGTCTGCGCGCCATGTGGGACCCTCCTCAGGAGGCCGGGGAGCAGCTGGGGATGGAACCGGCGCTGCAGAGGCTGCGGGCAGCTTCGCAACCCAGCGCTCAACCGCTGCGCCACCTGGGAGGCCCATAATCATGTCTTTTTAAGAACTATAAATACTCCTCAAAGCAAGGATCTATCATTAAAGGTTTTAGCATGGGGGTGACATAATCAAGTGTCTTACTTATAACAATACCTTTGGAGGCTGAGTCAAACTACATGATAAAATGTGTGTGTGCACAGATGGAAGCTATTGCCCATGAGTAAGACTACAAGGAAAAGAAACAATGAATTTCATTTTGAACATTCAGGGTTGAGATGTGCTAGAATCAAGTGTTTCCAATACAGAGCTGAATATACTAAATGTGGAGCTCAGAAGAGATCAGGTTTAGAGGTTAAAAGTATCAGAATCAGCAGAACCCTTAAATAGAAATGAGAGTAATGAAATCACTAGGCCATTTTCTTATTCTATCTTTCCCATTACTGATAGAACTCAGTAATCACTGGTGTTGCCATCTTCATAAAAAATATATTGACAATCATCCACTATAAAGCCAAATATAGTGGAAGCTTTTCAGGTGTTACATCCTTTAAGTGTAGTAAAATACAAAGCATCTTAAACCAGAATATGTCACATACCTAATATATTACAAAATTTGACTCTTATTACATGCAAACCTTAAGAAATAATCCAAAGGCTGGATATTGAGAAACTTCACTTAAGTCTACATATTCTATATTGGGATATTTAAATGATACGTACATTTTGGTACAAAAAAAAAAAAAAAAGGGTGTTCAGATGTGAAAAAATAAAATTAGTCTGTGAGGTCTTCAAATATCAGTATGACTGTAGACTTGAGATGTCTGGACAGTTTTGCTTACTATTTCACCACTGATATTTCCAGTCAAATACAAAATTAAAATAAGCTTTAAGTATTTGCTCCATGAGATTAATAATTTCAAATCAAAGCTTTTCTTTATAAACTAATGTCAGAAATGCAAAATGTTCAAGTTTGGTCACTGGTTTTTCAAAAATAGCTCAAATGTGAGCTATTCAATTAGGCTATTTAATAATATGAATATTATATTTAAGAAATTTTAAAATATCAGACCATAGTACTGATTTCCTTTATGAACAATTTTGATAACCTGGCATGGACAAAACACCTCAGCTCTCAGAATATTATTAAATAGTTGCAGAAATTAAGTTGCAAATATTTAGAAATACAATAACCCAAAGGAATGGAACGATTCACTGCATAGTACTTGATAGCCTTCCTTTATTGTTTCTACTATTTTAAAGTGATTATAGTACTTTTTATACAATAAAAAATAGCCCTCATGCACAAAAATTTGGGTAGTTTAGAATTTGTACCAAGTGCTTCCTAACCTCCACATAGAGCCGTTGAATTGGAAACTTAACATAATGCAAAGATGACATTTCCCAAATTCTTTGCCCCTGCTGTGTTCCTTTTTTCCTTAAAGTCCAACATAACAGCTTCTTATAAAATCAAATGGCTCAGTCATTAAACCCCAACAAAAACCACCTCATAAGAATAACTGACACACATGACCCTTAAAAGAACAAGATACATATGAGGTGAAAATTAGTTGCTTTTATTGTTAAAAAAAGTTTTATGAATTTCTTTGCAACTCTACTTGAGAATTGCTCTGAGTAACTGAAAAAATAGCTCCTGCAGAGAAAAACATCTAAACTAACTTCACTGCTTCTAGAAGATGAAGAAACAGCAAAGTCCAGCTGTTTATTAAAGTCCATGATTATTAAGTTTGAACTGCCCATTCCACTACTCCTGCAACTTTCCTACAATCATTCATCACACAATCCTACTTCTACAAGATAAGTACCTGGCAAAGTGGTACTGAGAAAAAAATAAGATAGACGTTCACATTTATATTTGCCTATAAGACAAACTGAATAGAAAGCAGCAGAGAAAATGGGAACCACTGCAAAGGTATATCATTAGTCCAAGTAATGAAGTCCAGATTTTTCTTTCAATACTGACCAGATTAAGGAATGATTATGTTTCAAAGCTCTCCTCACTTCTCTAGGAGTGATTCCAGCTCTTCTTGCAAAGAACTAAGTTGCTCCTTCTCCCGGTCTTCCTTTTGTTTGAGTTCATCCAGCACAGCCTGAAATCGGTTCTTAAGAGCCAGATTTTCCACTTTCATGATTAGATCCTCCTGTCGTTTTGCTCTGTCCTGGGTCTCTTGGAGCTTGCCTTTCATGTTATCAATCTGCTTCTGAATTCCCATAACCAACTGATTGGTTCCCTCATTTTCTTGGTGCTGCTCATCTGATTCATTTAACTTGTCCTGTAGCTGTCTTTCCAGATCTTCCTCAGTGTCGATGATGTTTATATCTTCTTCATCTTGATGCTGTGTCTCATCTTCATCATCACTGCTACTGCTGAGGTCATTGAATATCTCCCGAAGCTCATCATGTTCTAATGAGTCATGGCCCTGTCTGTGACCAGACATCCCAGGAGAAGAGATATCAAGGCCCTGATTTTCTGTTTCTTTTGTTTCATCTTCAGCAATTATTTCCCAACGAGTACTGACCGCTTCAGCATCTGTACTCAGTAAACGTTTTACTTCTTTTTCCACATCTGGAGATTCAATATACTTCTTCTTTGCTGTCTTCCGAAATCTTCTCTTTCTTACATTTTTTAGAGGCAGAGTGATTCCGTGATTCCATATAAACTTTTTCTCTTTGTCCTTATCTTTTTTCTTGCTTGCTTTAGGATCAGTAGTAGCAACTGGTTCCTCCACAGGAGGATAGAGATCACCATCAACTGTGGACACAAGCATCTGACAAATATCAGCAGTCTTGTAAAAAGTTTTTTTATCAATGGTTTTCAAACTTTCCATAACACACGGCAGATCTACCAATTTTGAAGCCAATGGCACCCGGTCAACTCTGACAATTCCATGACGTCCATCAGGGTGTAACTCAATTGTCAGTCTATCTTTCAGGTTGACATGGCCAGATTGTACTGCCCGCCTCACCGTGGAGGCATATTCCGGAGGTAGGCGTAAGATAAACTGGCTCTCTAATTCGTGAGGAGCATCATCTTTGCTCTTACTCATCTTGTCTTTGAGACTCCTCTAAAAACCACTTGTTGCACTAAAAAGTTCCAGCTATTCCAACAGCTAGAAAGACCAGTTTGTTACTAACTTCCGGAAATCTTTGCACACAATTCTAAGTAGAACAGGAGGTAAGCATCTGTTTTGTCTTAATTTTGAATTAAGTCCCAAATTTTTCTAAATATGCTGTGATTGCATACCAGTAATTAGACACATTTCGTCCATTTAAATCTAGTAGCTGCAACGCCGAGTTCCAGCCTCCAGATGCCACTGCCGCACAATGCAGGGAGAGCCAGGGAGCAGGAAAGCAAATGGCGGCTCCTGCGGAAGAGTTTTCGGCGCAGAAATTAAGGCCCAGCAGACATTCCCAATCCACAAACTCTCCCGGAACAAAGATATTCAGAAAAGCGGAGCACAGCGAGCGTCCTTCGCATCGGGTACTTACAATCCTGCGATGTAAATAAACGCAGCTTCCGCGAACAGGAACGAGCGGAACAGTAAGCCAGTGGGAGGAGGGCGGGCAGGGGACGAGCGTCTCCTAATCCCTTTGTTCTTCCCGGCTCTTGGCAAAGCGATCTGGTACTGACCCGGTGAAATCACCAGGACAGAGAGCGCGAAATGCCGCTGAGACCCGCAGCTCCGCAGCTCTCTCCCCGGACCAGCCCACGCAGCGGAGCAGGAAGCTGGCGCCAGGCGGCTGTGAATGACAGCTCGGCTCGGCGGAAATGCTTACGGTCCCGGCGCGCGCAGGCGCAACGCGCAATTGCGCTTTCCGGCATGGCGTCTCTTATCGCGAGAATTCGGTTTTACCCGCGTTCAGAACGAGCTTTCGGTTTGATAATATTTATTGACTAGGGAAATGCAGATTCTCCCACCCCCCCCCCTCCCATCCCCCGCCCACCCGGCGCTCCGCGGAACTGTTGTGGGACTGCCGTGGGGCCGGCTTTGCTTCCGGAAACGTTTAGGATGCTTCACGGTACATCCAATCTGGAGCTAATACAAGAATTTGTAACTAGCCATACAGTGGCGTGAAGAGGATATTGTAAATATGTATTCAACATAACAGCTTATTTTGTTTTCTTTTTGAAAATGCCCTGAGGGCCTCCCCGGTGGCGCAGCGGTTGAGCGCTGGGTTGCGAAGCTGCCCGCGGCCTCTGCGGCGCCGGTTCGATCCCCGGCTGCTCCCCGGCCACCGGAGGAGGGTCCCACATGGTGCGCAGACCTCTCCTGCCGCCCGCTGCTCCCCTCAGCAGTGTACTTCGGTCCTTCTGCCTGCTCTGCTCCCTGCTCTGGCTCTGGTGAATTCTCTCACCCTCCCGCGCTTCTGACTGTACCCAGTGCATGTATAAACAAAACAAACAAACAAATATAATTAATAAATAAATAAACATGCCTCTATTTAAGAAAAAAAAAAAAAAAAAAGAAAATGCCCTGATGGGACCTATGTCTCAGGGTCTGATTCTGTTCTGATGGGTTCCAAAGGAACAAGAATGATTCCTCTTTTTAATGTTTGGCGTGGATATAAATGTAAATAGAAAAGTGTTCTGGAAACACATGCTTGTTTAGGACAGTTGACTTATAGACAAATGGTCTGATTGAAGTAGAATATAATTACGGTTTTACTCCCTGTCATTCATTTGCCAGTAAACTTCTAAATTAGGAATTTTGTCATTCCACTTATACTATTTTGGTAGCTGTTTTTTGCTTATCTCTTCTGAATAGTGAAGTATTCATAAGCACGGATTTCTAGTATTTCACCCTATCTTGCTTCTGTTTCCATTTATTTTTAAATAGTCATTTTTGGGTATATCATCAAAAATTTAATTTCTATTTCTAAAATACTAACTCATCTAGATTTAAGAGAAGTTTCTTACAATGTGATTAACCAGCTTGCGCTTTTTTTTTTTTTTTTTGTACTTACCACTGATTACTTACCACAGAATACTTCACTATTCCATGATAATCAGGCATCTTTTTTTCTTGTACATCGTGTCCGGGTGCCTAGTATCAACATGTGGGAAATAAACACAAATAATTGCCAATTAGATGAAACAGTTGAGCGACTTAGAAAGAACATACTGTCAAACATTTAATAACCTTTAAAAGAAAATACATTGTGTCATCTTATGATCCACGTTTATATACATATCCTCTCTAGCCTAGATTGTTATGAGCAGAGAGGTTTGCTAATATCTGTATGAATGCGCCCTCTTTGGTTTGGGCAGAGTGTAACATGATACATGATGGGATAAAATTAAAATCGTCTTGTACCAGTTTGATTATTTTGTGTTAAATTTGAAGGAGAAATTATGCTTTTCCAGGTAACTGCATTAGTTCTCTGTGTGTTGAAGAATGATAGCTGATTTATCTAGAATTTTTTTTAAAGATTTATTTATTTATTTATACAAGCACTGGGTACAGTCAGAAGCGCCGGAGGGTGAGAGAATTCACCAGAGTCAGAGCAGGGAGCAGAGCAGGCAGAAGGACCGTAGTACACTGCTGAGGGGAGCAGCAGGTGGCAGGAGAGGTCTGCGCACCATGTGGGACCCTCCTCTGGTGGCCGGGGAGCAGCTGGGGATCGAACCAGCGCTGCAGAGGCTGCGGGCAGTTTCGCAACCCAGCGCTCAACCGCTGCGCCACTGGGGAGGCCCTATCTATAATTTTTTTTTTAAAGATTTATTTATGTATATAAGAGCTGGGATGTAGGACAGAGGTGCAGGGGGAGGCGGGGGGTGTGTGAGAGGCTTCACCAGAGACAGACTGGGGAGAAGAACAGGCAGATTGACTGAAATACACTGCTGAGGAGAGCTGCAGGGGAGACAGGAGAAATCTGCTGCGCTTTGTGGGTAGCTTCCTGACCATCTGGGGATCAAACTCATGCTGCAGATTGCTTCAGAGTGCTGATGCTTAACCCCTTGCGCCACCAGGGAGGCCCCTGATTTAGCTATAATTTCAAGTGCAATCTATATCTTGTTTGCATAGATCAAGTTTTTTCAATGTGCTTGTCCCTTAAATATACCTGATTTTACTTTTTACATATATAAGAGTTTAACACACTAGCCTCTGCATAATGCTTCATTTAACAACATAAAATGTGAAGCCAGGCTTATACATAAAATTAGCCTAAATATTGCTTTGCATTGTACTTGCATGTGCATTTTAGGATGTTTAAATATCCTTGTCATAGAAAGTAACTTAAGATAAATCTTAGGCAGTTATTATTTGCAAATATTGTGACGTATTTTAGTTAGTAAACCTTTGAGTGGAAGGTTGTCAGAGATAATTAAAAGGATCAGTTGAAGTTTCCTCTAAAGGGTCTACCTCCTTCAGTCCTGAAAAAGAATTTCTGCTTTTGAGTTTAACATATTTTCTAAATTTTTTTTGAGGGGAAATTACACTAAGGTCTCTACCATATCACTATTACCTTAATGTCCATTGATAAATCCAATTGTTTTTTAATGAAATTCATCAGACTTACAGAAAAAATCAGAACTGATGAATGTTCTCATGGTTGTTCCATGGACTATCTGTGATACTACTGAACCAGAGACTTGGAGAGAGCAGGAAATTTCCTAGTGTGGTAATGCCCTCTGTAGACTTCCCACCTGTGATAAGAGTATCACAATGAGGTTAATGTTGTGTTTGCAAATTCCCTTTAAGGGCCTTCCTGGTGGCGCAACAGTTGAGCTGCCCACAGCCACTGCAGCACTGCTTCGAGCACCGGCCGCAGGGCGAGGGTCCCACATGGCACAGCAGACCTCTCCTGCCGCCCGCTGCTCCCCTCAGCAATGTACTTCATCAGTCTGCCTGTTCTGTTCCCTGCTCTGGCTCTGGTGAATTCTCTCACCCTCCCGCACTTCTGACTGTACCCAGTGCTTATATAAATAAATAAATAAATCTTTAAAAAAGAAAATTCCCTTTAATATACTTTCCAGTTTCTTATATACAGTGGAGATTAAAAAATTATGGGTGATGAGAGAAGCCCTGCTTACAGTGTAGAGACAGAAAATAATAGGGGTGAGGAAATAGCAAACATCCCCTCAAAAGTGCACTTGTGGGCCTCCCTGGTGGCGCAGTGGTTGAGCGCTGGGTTGCGAAGCTGCCTTCAGCCTCTGCAGCGCCAGTTCGATCCCTAGCTGCTACCCGGCCACTGGAGGAGGGTCCCTCATGGCGCACAGACCTCTCCTGCCGCCTGCTGCTCCCCTCAGCAGTGTACTTTGGTCCTTCTGCTGCTCCCCTCAGCAGTGTACTTCGGTCCTTCTGCCTGCTCTGCTCCCCGCTCTGGCTCTGGTGAATTCTCTCACCCTCCCGCGCTTCTGACTGTACCCAGTGCTTGTATAAATAAATAAATAAATCTTTAAAAAAAAAAAAAGTGCACTTGTGTACTGCTGTGTAAGTATATGAATAGTAAAAAGCTGGTTAACTAAAATGTTTCAGTCTCTTTTATCAAGTAGAGTCCTTTCTATAGAAAAAAAAGACCAACCTAATTTATACTGGTTTAAACAAGAAAAATCGTTTTCCTTTATCTCAAAAACCAGAGGTTTATTTTTTTTAAGGTTCAAAAACCAGAGGTTTAGAGTAGCTCTTTCCAATAGAAATTTAATGTGAGCTACAGATGAAATCTATATATATATATGATATTAAATTATTAAATTCTCTAGTAGCTATATTAAAATAGCAAAAACCAAGTGAAACTAATTTCCTTAACATTTTATATGCTTATAAGCCAAAATATTTCAACATGTAATCAATGTAGAAATTATTAACATATTTTACATTCTTACTTTTGTATTTAACCTGGTGTATATCCTACACTTACAGCACATCTCAGTTTGCACTAACCACATTTCAGGTCCTCACTGGCACGGGGTTGGTTGGTGGACAGTTGCTGGACAGTGCAGTTATGGGATTATAAGGCTATCCCTAGGCATGATAGACTCCTGGCCTGGCACAAATTGTTTTTCTTGCCTTAATTTTGGAGTATGAGCATATATTTATACTTCTCTCTATTATTCTTACAGTGTTGCCCTCATCTCCTTGTAAACTTTCAAAGTGTGTGGCCACAAGAAACCTGCTAGCAATAACCAGGGAACTTCCTTCTTTGTCCATGGTAAGTTTAGAGTGTGGCTCCCCCTAACCCAAGTCTCTCTTTCAATCTGGTTGGACCAGTTTAGGCCATGTATTCACCATGCCTCAATAATAGTCACCAGGGGACTACTTTAAGCCTGTGATTTTCAAAATGGTGGGAAGGAGATGACATTTAGTAATGCCTGCACACATTTTTGATTGTCACAACTGTAGGGGTGGGGTCTACTGGCATCTAGTGGGTAGAGGCCAGAGATGCTGGCCTACAATACACAGAGCAACCTCCCACAAAAAGGAATTATTTGGTTCAAAATAGTACCAAGGTTAAGAAACCAAGGTTAAGCTTATTATTTTAAACCTATATTCTTAACTAAATACAAGAGGTATAAGAGTACCATTACTGGGCCTCCCCGGTGGTGCAGCGGCTGAGCGCTGGGTTGCGAAGCTGCCTGCGGCCTCTGTAGCGCCGGTTCGATCCCCGGCTGCTCCCTGGCCACCAGAGGAGGGTCCCGCATGGTGCGCAGACCTCTCCTGCCGCCCGCTGCTCCCCTCAGCAGTGTACTTCGGTCCTTCTGCCTGCTCTGCTCCCTTCTCTGGCTCTGGTGAATCCTCTCACCCTCCCAC